GGTGGGGCCCATTGGGGGATCGAAAGTTTTACATAAGAACATATAGAAAAAATATTTCTTCTCAAGAACAGAAAAGCTATGTTTAGTCATATTGATATGGAAGCATCCTCAGGTAGTGTAGATTCAAGTTCAAATGATGACCCCTGGGATAGGGAGGAACCACAATGGGGGATCAAATTTTTACAAAGGAATATATGGGAAATTTTTTTAAAAATCTTCTGAAGTACCCCCCCCCCCCCGCCGGGGTAATCTTTTCAATACTGAACTGATTTGTGCCTAGCCAATGTGCTCAGGTGAGCGATGTGGCCCATGGGCCTCTTGTTCAGTTTCAGAATAATTGATCGAAGATGGAAATCTTATTGCAATATAAAGGAGTGGAGTAGCAACATTGTTCAAGGGTTGATGGGTTAAGCACTAAAAAGAATTTTACAATAAATTAATTAATTAAGCCTAAAACGCTTGAACTCGACTGAAAATTCTATTTTGGGGGATGGGGGTTGTCCTTTTTAGCTCACCTGAGCCAAAGGCTCAAGTGAGCTTTTCTGATCAAAATTTGACATTGTCTGTCGTCGTTGTTGTCGTTGTCGTAACCTTTTCACATTTTCATCTTCTTCTCAAGAACCACTGGGCCAATTTCAACCAAACTTGCCACAAAGTATCCTTGGGTAAAGGGGATTCAAGTTTATTCAAATGAAGGGCCACGCCTTCTTCCAAGGGGAGATAACTAAGAATTTGTGAAAAATTAATGGCATCATTAAAAAATCTTCTTCTCAAGAACCACTGTGCTTGAAAATGTGAAACTTATGTGGAAGCATCCTCAGGTAGTGTAGATTCAAGTTTGTTCAAATCATGACCCCTGAGGGTCGGGTGGGGCCACAATGGGCGATCAAAGTTTTACATAGGAATATATAGGAAAAATCTTTAAAAATCTTCTTCTCAAGAACAGCAAAGCCATGATTGGTCATATTTATATGGTAGTATCCTCAGATAGTGTAGATTCAAGTTTGTTCAAATCATGACCCCTGGGGGTCGGGTGGGGCCACAATGGGCGATCAAAGTTTTACATAGGAATACATAGGTTAAATCTTTAAAAATCTTCTACTCAAGAACAGCAAAGCCATGATTGGTCATATTTGATCGAAGCATCCTCAGATAATGTAGATTCAAATTTGTTCAATTCATGACCCCCCCCCCCCCCCCCCCCCCCGAACCATTTTTTTATTTAAACTTTTCAACCTTTCAAGACTGAACTGATTTCTGCTTTTTCCTAGCAATAGTGCTCAGGTGAGCAATGTGGCCCCTGGGCCTCTTGTTCTAAATTGTCTTTAATTTTTTTTTTAAATCCTGGAATTTGCTAGAATCAACCTTATAGCAACAAAGAAAAAAAAGGGGGGGGGCAAGCAGCATCTAAATAAAAATTTACATATTTAAAAAACAGCACAAAACTACTAGGGAAAAGGGGAGCGCCCTGTCCCGCGTACTATGGCCTGTAGTGCAAGTATACACAACAGACACCCAATTCAAACCAGTTTTTTTAGTTTATCATATTTATAAACTCCAGAAAATTTTCTAACATGATTGTTTTTATATTACATACACGGAACCTTATAAATGGTAAGGATAGTCATTTATATATATACATGTACATATGTGAAGGAAAGCGACTTGTCCTGTAGCCCCATCACCACCCAGAATAGGTTTTTCGGGTTTTGGACAAGTACGGTTTATTTTTAGTAAAAAAAAAAATGCAGTGGATTTTTTAATGGGTATGGACCCCCCTGGAAAGATTTCCTGGAAGATGCATGTTTGTATGACAACTAAAGGGTGTTCGTTTACCTCCCGACTTTTTCAGCACAAGGATTATATATTTTAAATGTAATGCAGGCCCGTAGCAACGGTTTCAAAAGTGGGGTGGGGGGGGGACTTCCCACAAATTCTGACAAGCCCCCCCCCCCAAAAAAAAATTACCAAAAAGTGAGAGGGCCAAGCTCCCAAAATAATCTGACGCTGACAGACAAACAAAAAAAAACTGTCCAAATCCTGGAATTTGCTAGAGCTCGACGTAATGAGGAAGCACAAGCATATAGTAGCTATGTTTTCTATAGCATTCTATATGCCCCCGGTTCCTACGGCCATGAATACTACATCATGTAGGTTGACAAGCCAATATATTACAGAATATTCAAATATCATTTTTTTTTTAATAAAGGTACAAAATATTACCTCTTCTTCATTTTCAATTAATAATACATGTAATTTTTGAAAAGAAATACAATTAAAGAACGAAGTATTGTGTACAAGGCAGTTACGGCTCATTTTTGTCTTTGTTGTGATTATAGTTATTTTCTATCATTTGTATATGATGTTATATTTGTAAATATTCACAACTGTCGAAATAGTTATAATTATGTTATATAAATATCGAAAGTAAGTTGCAGCGAGGGAAAAAAGTCACTTCATGCATGCATATTTATAAAAATTGCACTTGATGATCGTTGTTCTCAAGGGGTGCTTAGAGTTCACAATATGGTTTTCTTCAGTTTTTGAAAAGAAAAAAAATCTGGAAGAGGGTTGGGGGTCTGACCTCTTTGCAAAAACCTGGATCGACCTCTTATAAGAAATAACTTCAAATAAGTACGTACGTATGGGTTGTAATAGAAATATGAATACTAGTATTTCAAATGTAGGGCCTACACTTTGTAAAAATTGCTATACACAATTAAAAAAAATACTTTCAAGAATTGTCATATTCAAATTTACATTGAATAATTTTAAATTTTTATAGAGGACGCATGTAAATATGAATGACTATTCTGAAAACATTTTTCCCCACAGTACGGTAGTTATATCGAGGAAGGCGACTCGCGATGAGATGATTATAACCATATTCAACAAGAACTGTTGCCCCCTTATGGCAACTTATAGCAAAGTTGGTATCCAAAGGAAGGTCTTGTCACAAGGATTACATATGTGTGATATGAAAGCCCTAGCACCAACCTTTTAAAAGTTATGGCCAAGGTTAAAGTTTTCCAAAAGTAGGTCAGACACAAGGTCAAGGGGCAATAATTGTTGATATCCAAAGGAAGGTCTTGTCACAAGAAATACACATGTAAAGTATGAAAGCCCTAGCCCCAATTGTTCAAAAGTTATTGTCAAGGATAAAGTTTTCCAAAAGTAGGTCAAACTCCGAGGTCATGGTCAAAGTTGTTGGTATCCAAAGAAAGGTCTTGTCACAAGGATTACACATGGGAAGTATGAAAGCCCTAGCATCAACTGTTCAAAAGTTATGGCCAACGTTAAACTGGGGCAAACTCCAAGGTCAAATATGATGGTACCCAAAGAAAGTACTTGACACAAGGAATAAACATGTGAAATATGAAAGCTATAGCTAATACCAATCAAAAAAACAAGATGTGTTTGTGAAAAACTGGTGCCTCTGTATGACAGATTTTGGCGAAAGTTGGAGTTTCTCAAATGCAAGTCAAACTCCAAGGTCAAGGGATGAAAAATGTTGTTACCCAAAAAAGGACTTGTTCTCAATGAATATACCTGTGAAATATGAAAGCCCAAGCACTAATCATTAAAAAGTAATGACCAAGATTAAATTTTCTTTAAAATGTGCGTCAAACTCGAAGGCCAGGTCAAATTAAAGGTACCCAGGGGAAGGCCTTGTTATAAGAAATACACATGTGGAATATTTAAACCATAACGCTAACTGTTCAGAAGTTATGGCCAAGTTTAAAATTTTTCAAAAGTAGGTCAAACTCCGAGATCAAGGTCAAAATTTCAAAATTGTTGGTATCCAAAGAAGGCCTTGTCACATGGAATCACCTGTGAAATATGAAAGCCCTAGTACTATTTGTTCAAAATTTATGTCAAAGGTTAAAGTTTTTTAAAAGTGGGTCAAACTCAAAGGTCAAGGTCAAAAATATTTACATCCATGGAATGGCCTTAATAGCTTATCACAATGAATACACATGTGAAGTATGAAAGCCCTAGCCCCACTTGTTCAAAAGTTACGCCCAAGGTTAAAGTTGGGTAAATTCTTGTAAAATTGGGTCAGACACCAAGGTCAAGAGGTCAAATATGTTTGTACCCAAGGAAAGGCCTTGTCACAAGGAATAGACATGTGAAATATGAGAGCCATAGCTCAAACCAGTCAAAAGTTAGGCAATGTTAAATCTTCGATTACAAGGGCATAAAAATAATTCTAACATTTGATAAATTTATGATCCATCAGCACTACAGTACCCTTTTCACAAAAATCTTGCTCCACCCATGCGCGGACACCCCCCCCCCCCGGAATTTGCAGAGTTATTAAAAGTATATACTGAAGCAAATTAAAAATGACATTGGACCCCCTAGAAAACGTGGACCCCACCATCACCACCACGAAATAGGTTTTTTCACGTTTGGGTAATGGATTTTACGTTGTTTTTTTTCCATGTCAAGAAATGTTCTGGGATTAATACGTTTGGGAAGGAATTTTTTTTTTTTTTTTTTTTTTTTTTTTTTTTTTTTTGCTTGTCAAGAACTTTCTGGGTTGGATTTTTTTTCTAACTGAGGTGGAACACCCCCCCCCCCTTTTGGAAAAAAATTCCTGGCTCCGCCCCTGCCACCCATGATAAACTTTTAGTCAAATAGCTTATAATATGCCCAACAGCCAACAGCCAAGAGATGGGTCAAAAATTAAAATAATGTTAATGTACTGGCAATGTTAGCCACTCAATAAAGTCCACAATTTATTTTAGGACTTTGTAGAGAGGGTGGGGGTTTCAAATCCTGAACACAGTCTCTTTGACATATTTTGCTCTGACTCCCGCAAGTTCACTGTAAAATAAATGGGGGGGGGGGGGTAGCGCTAGCTGAACCCAGGTTTAATCAAATGATTAAACGATATTTAACTAGATCTCTTAAAACCAATATTACATTGCGAAGCCCTATTTAGTAGCCTTTCTGATGACGTTAGCTCTGACGTCATATATTTCGAATAGTGAACTAACGCCTGTGAGCTCGCTCTGAAAAGTCATGGTTCTTCCCGGATAAGAAATTGACAGGTGCTCGAATTTTGGAAACTAGGTAAAATTTTTATTTGTTGATAAATCTATGTATACTATCCAAATTTGATATCAGGGCAACATTTAAAGGTGAACTGAAGGGGACTTAGAGGTTTAGACACTTAAAAAAATTCAGTGTCGACATTTCTTCATAAAATGTGATTCATCTACTTTGATATATAGTTTTTATTTATTTAACATCATCAATTCCATTGCATCACGGTATTATTTTACCTTTAGCTTCTAGGCTATACAATTGACGATAGCCCCGTTCTTTCACTTGCCAACGCTTGGAGTTCGAGACACTGGTGATTTACTGTGCAGCAAACCTCTAATCGAAAGATTAAACATGTCATATTCAATTCAAGAAATAAACTTAGAAGGTGTCTCTCCGGAACAAGTGCAATATTTGGCAAATCTTATAGAATCCAGCAAGCATCATGACGCAAATCTTGTAAACAAAGGTGAAGTTCCAAAGTTGCAGCAGTTGGTCCTAAATAAGTGTCTAAGTACGATAGCTGACGACAATGAAAATGAAGTCTTTGTTCAAAGTTGTCCTAATAATGACAGCATTAGTGATGTTCCCAACTCATACTATATGATTGTAAGTGCCAGTGGGGAAGATAATCATGAAATGTATCATGGTGCTGAGATGGACATAGAGCGCCTGGCGTTGCAGAGAACAAATCAATCCTACACCCAGGACCCATGTATGGCAAGTGCAGACACCTCATTTGGAGAGGAGAACATCTTGGATCATCTCACAAGACAGGTTGCAATGCAGCAGCAGTATCTGTGTAATGCCATGAATATTGTCCCCACAGGCATGGACAGCAGTAGTAGATGTTATTCAGACAATGACAGGTATATTAGCTTGAAAGGTAAATAAGGTTTTCTATTAGATCTATAAGATTTTTCTGTAATTTTGTATGCTAGCTCATAATAAATCAATTATCCAAAATGAAGAGTGGTACTGTGAAATCACAAATTTTCAGGGGGGGGGGGGGGATTTTATTTGTTTTCGTGGTATGTAGAGATCCATGAATTCATGTCATCCTCGAAATGTATAATATCAAATAAATAAAAGCTTAGCACTTCTTTATCCCAACGAACCAATACTTTTTCCTCAGCCACAAAAATTTGACCCCACGAAAATATATGATTTTAGTATAATTTTACAGTAATTTAAGTTGAAGATCTTTCCATTTGTCCATATAAAACTAATGTTTTATAGGGAGAGGTCATGATAGAAAAATAGTATTTGGCTTTAACAACCTAAAGCAAATTAATCCAAATATCTTTTATTAATTAATTAAAAAAAAGAAGAAAATCACTTATTTCATGTTTATTAGATTAAAGTCCAAAAGTCATATGAACACAATAAATTAATAGTCCAAATTGAAATAATTTTCTATTTAGAAATAAATTTACACTCATTTATGATAGTTAGCAATCAGCTCAAATCTAAATTAGCACTAGCTGACTTAAGACTGTTTTTTATTTCCTTCCAGTTTTATTTCCCAGGATCCAAATTACAATGCCGGGGAACCTCAGGGACTGAATGATAGTTTAAATGGAAGCTTGATGAACAGTGGGTTTGCTGTTCCTCAATATCCAGTGACCAGCTTACATCAACCAGTCATTCAGTTACACTCCACTCCAGAGAACAATCCAGGGAGAGAGAAAAATCTGGTGCTGATTAGAAGTGAAAATATGGTTAATAAGTTAATTAAATATATATAAATATATATTTAAGGAATGTTGAAACAAAGTATACCATCATCTTCTTTAGAACAAAACCTGTATGATATTGTACATTGTTTCATTTCAATGAAGCCGAAAACCCAAATTTATACCCAAACAGATTAAGTTATACATGTATACAGTAAAACTTGTTTAGTATGAACACAGATATAGCAAATGTATGGATATAGTGAAGTTTTTTTTATATCCAGTGAAATTCTTAGCAATTCCTTGTAAGATTTTAGTTATAACAAACTCTGATACAGATAAGCTGTGGATATAGTAAACTGATTTTGTGTCCTGTAGAGGTTAAAAATAAAAGAATTTACATCTTTTATAATGAATTTTCAAAGATCACAAAATTTGTAAGTACAGTATTAAGTATTTATATTTGAAATAAAATTCACCTGAAAAAACTTTAGTACTGTACTCCTAGGTAATTTTGATATATCTTACCTCCAAAAATATATTTCTTAGTTCTACTTGAAGGAAAACATTTGGTTTATATACTAAATAACAAATTGTTATAATTGGATATAATGAATAAATAGTAAAGTAAATTCACAGGTCCCCAGGACTTTGCTATAACCAGGTTTTATTGTATCTTTTATTTAAAGTAAATGCATGTATTTAACAAAGAATATATACATAAAATTTCAAGGATAATTCCTAAATATTGTAAATACATTACTTGGAAACCTTAGAAAGTAACAGGGCACATAATTTATTTAGAAAGTAAAGGGTAATGACAATTTTCAAGCTTTTTTAATGAAGTAACCTTGTAACATTACAGGAGACACCCGAGAATCACCACCACACTGCAGTGACCTCTCAAGGCTGCTATGTTTACACTCCACACCCCAGGACTGGGCAGCTGCTGTACATGACTGCCACTGACGATGGCTCTCCCCAGCTATACCAGCCCCTCCCCCAAGTGACTGCCACACCCATTCCTCCTACCCAAAAAGACAAAAGCATTTTTACAACACCAAAGGTATTACATGTACCTATCTTTATGAAAGTTAAACTCTAAGATTCACTTTAAAACTAAACAACTTTAATTCAGAAGTTCTTAGATTATAATCACAGATCAAAGGGCTTTAATTGGTGAGCATGGCTGAAAATTTAAAGATGCTGGCTAGAGTATTTTGAGAAAACCTTTGGGTTACCCAAGATGCAAGGTCATTTGTTCTGACTTGTTAACTGTCACAGTGTGATGGTTGAAAACTAGAGACATAGTCTTCAATGTGTATTAATAATTTTAGAACATGACCATGAACCAGTCTGATCAAAGGATTTCGAAGCGTGTTGTTTCCATCTAAGGCAAAAACGATATAATACTGGAATGCTAGTTTTTTCAGGAACTTTGTACAGATCAGTTGCTCTTGAGAAGAGAATGTGTCATGACCCCGAACCAAGGTCAGAGAATTGATTAGGTTAGAGGGTTTGGTCAAGGTCATAGCAAAGTTCAAAGTTGTTTATGAGTCGGAGGCGATGTCACAAAATGCTGTTGGGAAAGTTGAAAATTACATAAAATGACAGTGTTAACTTTTTTTTGTATTATAATTATTATATAAAGGAAATAACAAACTTCAAAACATTGCCTGATTTGGTTGTGTGTGCCCTGCAAGTTCTATACTTTTGAGTGCTTTGCAAAAGGTTAACTTTACAATTCATTGTGCAATTTAAAGTTGTTTGATCTATGATTAAGTGCACTGTAAAGCAGAATTACGTACTCTCTCCGTAGATACTACAGGTATTTTTTAGCATATATCAATTTGAATGTGAATTTAAAAAAAAAAAAATTCCTTCGACTGTTAGACAACAAACTGCACACTGAACAGCAGCGGTGAGGAGACTCAAGAGAGCCCCTCCTCTGGTGATCCCCCCACTGATAAGTCCTCAACCACAGATGTCTCCTCCACCTCGGATGGATCCACCTCTCTGTTGAGCTCCACATTGGACAAGAACAATAACAAGTTCTACGACATCTCTTTGTTCAGTAGTTGTGTTGGAGAAGATGGTCGGGAACAACACAATATGAAAGAGAGGAGGAGAAGGTAACCATCTGAGACCAAATTTCTCCAAAACAATAACTATACGTAAACTTGAAAATACATTTGATCACAATTATATTGAAGAAATGACAATATGTGTATTTGACAGAATTATAACAAATAATTTCATATACATGGAAATTAATATAAACCTAAGGACCCTGCTTTAGTGAGGCCTGTAATAAGCATAAATCACCCACAGAGTATTTATGCATTAAGTTTCTAAGAAAAAGGTAAGGGTCAAAAAGGTACTGTATGTGTACTTAAAAAAGCGGGCTTCATATTTTAGCGGCTTTAGCGCGGACAACGATGCACTAATTCATTAATACCGCTAAGAAATCATTTATAAATGCAATACACGGTACGGACATGTATAGCGCTAATTCATGATTATGCCAACAACTCCATGCCCAGTGATTTTGAATACGCCAATGTATGTACACGTACAGTATATCGTAAGTCCTTGTCCAGAGCACATTTTTTTCTCCCATTGACCCAATTTGGTTCCTAATTTACCTGAACTGTGTCCTTAGATAAAGCTGTTTAGGAAACTTGATCCAAATTTCTGTATCAGAAGTCAGGTTCCAACAGATCTTTGTAAAATCCTTGTTTGGAATACATATGTATATATATTTCCTTTGAACAAGTTTCACTCATTCATCACAATTTGCTTGACTCAAGAATCTAGGTCAAGGCAGAATAAAAAGTGCTTTACAGTATTTTGAATAACTTTACTCAGTCTCTTTCAAAAATAAATTTCAAATAGCAATTTCTTCTGCTTATACCATGACGTAAACTTTTCAGTGTACAGAAAATTCCTCTTCAATTACAGTCCTAAACAAGTCCCTTTACCCTTGTGTACTTTACATTTTATAAAAGGGTCTCTGAGATGGTCACCATCTCACTTTAATAGTTTTGTTTTTGTTGTACATATAACTTTGTACATATCTTTGATACTAGCTTGGATAAGAGATTTAATACGGTAATATTTACATTCAGTGTAATTTTTTTCATGAAATCCTTAGAAATCTATGACGTTCAGATCTCTATAACGCATGTGAAACCTTGTTACCATTCAATAGAATACACAGTAGGAACTATATTTATTTTCAATATCTAGGAACACCAAAATGTATATTGTTTTGACTCAATTTAATCCAAAAAAAAAATCTACCCTATTAAATTAACATAAAATAAAATAACCGTGCACTTAAAATTAATTTGTCATTTTTTTTCTCAGAATTTTCATTTGCGTTATTTACGTAACTTTCCAACATCACAAATGGCTCTTATGTCTATTAAGCACACTAGTTCTGAAAGGCGCGATATTCAATTTGTCGGCACCGCCAGGTGTGTTATAGGACCGACGACATCCAAAAATAAGAATTCAATGCTTAATTAAAATAACTGCATGCCTATCTTTAGATTTTTTTTTCTATTTCAGAGCTAGAATCAAAGATGCCTGTGATGTTTTAAGAAAGCTGGTACCTGGTATGTCTGATAAGACTGACAAGGCTACAGTATTTGAATTTGCCGCCCGATATGTTCATTTCCTGAAGGGATTTGTTGGCAATCAACATGACAAGGTAACTGTTTCTGATCTCAATAAAACATACAGATGTTTTGTTCAGATATTTTTATGTTTTCTAGAAATGAAAATCATTTGAAATAATGTATGTGTCATTTCTTAAATTTAAAACAGGATTTCCTTTTGAAGTATAGTCCGTATTGATCCAAATAGAAAATACATCTGGAAGAGATGGACATTTATATACAAGAGGAGTCCGGACAATGCCCAGTGCCTACAAGCAGTGTTTTTTTACTGCAATTCTGACTTGCAACATAAAATCTTATACTAAAGTGCAGGCCACATTGGCTTACATAAGATAGCTTTCTGAAATATTACAGCTTTGTAATCAAGTATGACAACTTTTGAATAATTCAGAGCTAAATGTGTGATCTGAAAGCATGATGTTTTGTAAAATTTGTCACTTTTCCTTGATTATACTTGTATGTCAAATGTATTGTTCAGTATTAAACATAAGAAATTTTTGTACTTCTATATCTTATATGTATAACTCACCATTACTCTGACCGATGAAAACCTAATTAGTAATACAGTTGATCTTCGGTATCTCGAACACCGATATCTCATACCATGGATGTGTCAAAGTGATTTGGAGGTCCCAACACCTTATTCTTTATGTATTTTACCCTTGATGTCTCGATTCTTCGGATATCTCGAAGTTTTTTCTCTGTCCCATACAGTTCAAGATAATGAGGTTTGACTGTACGTGTATTGCGTCAGGGTGCCTGACTTCCATGTAGTGCACAAAAAACTTGGATATGAACAGGGTTTTCATTACAGCGGCAATCTGTGTAATGGATGCTGCAATTTCTTTTGGGATGCGACATGATTAAAAATTGCATGTTCATGGACTCGTTTGTGGACACTTCATTGTTAATGGGAAAATTTGGGTGTTTCAAATATTACACAAACATTTATTTCATGTTAAAGGTTTCTATTGTTGTTTGGATGGAAGAATACTGCATTAATTAATTGGGACTCAACATAATTTTTCTGGGACAATTTAGCTGGGACTCAACCATCTCAAAATCTGAGATGACTCAACAAAATCCTAGTGAGAACCCTGTATGAATGTCGTCATCTGGATAGTTTCAGACTTGCAGTTAAGGATGAAAGGAATAGAGATGCCATTTCAAGACAACATATAATTTTATTCTCAAAAGACCAAATATGAAAACACTCATTTAGAAAATTATGCACCAAAGTAATTGGTAAATGTATGAGCACAGATTAAAATATCTGTGACTGAGAAAATAAGCAGATTTCTAAAATGGTATATAAATCAACAGATCTGTAGCAACACTGAGATCGATGGGATATTAGTATTATGCAGAACTAGCTCTTACATCTGTTAATACATAAAAAAAAAATCTTAGAGTATTCAATGTATATGGATTGAAAATAATGGCCCAAAAGAAGGAATGCCATCATTTTCATGGATGCAAGAAATCCAAAAATTAAAATTATAATGGTGAGATGTTTTGGCCCAAATATAAAAAATACTATAAATCATGTTTATGTATAAAAATCTCCCTAACATTTTATACAGACATGCTGCAACAGCAATCAAGATACAAGTATAACATTCCAAATCAGCAATATCCAGCTTGAAACAAACAATTCTGAAGCAAATTGAACTGCACCATAAAAAGATACTTGATAAAAGTCATTAAAGCAAAAGACTTAGTTACTGATGCATCTTTCAGTACTAGTACAGATGTGCAAACTTAATCTTTTACAAATAAATAATGCAATACTAACTATCATCGTTAATTGATAGTGCTTTCTGCCATCTCATCTGTCAACGTCTCTTTATCTGAGTCGTTCTCTTTGTCGGAGTCTTTTAATGCCTTCCCCGCTGTTTCTGACCTTAGTCCACAAATGGCCAGAGCCTGAAGAAAGAATACTCCAGCCCACACTACAGGGTATAACCAAGTTATATCACTAGACAACAGGTATTCCCCAACAAAGGGGGTAATCAATCCAGGAATTTCAATGATCATGTACATTGTGGCCATAGCTGTGCTGCGAATATGAGTGGGATACACTTCAGGTGTGAATGTACTTAAAATGGAATAAATTGGGACCATGAAAAAATAACACACAATTACAGAGACTGCTTTCAAAAAATCCATGCCTACAAAAGCAAATAATAGCAATGAGATACATGTTGAAAAGGAGAATAGTTGTAAACATCTAATACGGCCAAGCATATATGGTTCTATCACTATCATAGCTAGGCAGAGTCCTGGAAGTTCTCCTATGAACACGGTAAACATGTTGAAATATGGATCCACTCCCAATGATCCCATGTATTCTGGAAGGTACACCGTGACCCCCCAGTAACCTGTGGCCTGAAGAAACCAGATCAAACCAATGTTGATAGTCTTTAGACTCATCTCTGGGGTAAACAGCTGGGAAATTCTACCTCGCTTCTCAGATGGCATGCATTCTATTTCACCTGTAGAAAACAGGAACAATTTTTACTTTTACTATTTAAAGGTAGTATAATAGAAGAAAAATTACCTATAAACAAAATAGTATGAATTGTGAATTGATGCAATTTACATAGTGATATTGAATCCATTGTATAAACACAGGTTTATTAAATCCTAGATTGAATAAACAAATGTCAGACTTGTTTCAGACTATAAAGTGATTAAGGTTTATATAGGTGTAGATTTATCTATCATTAATATCTATAAACATATAAAATTGGATTTATTCCAGTACCCCACTTCCCTAACCTCATTCCTTAATATTTGGATAAATTGAACATAGTAAGGGTTAAACAATGGCATTACCTTGCCATGCCAAAGGTTCATGGATCATTTTCTGAAGTACTGTTTTTCCTCTATATTCCTGACCAGAAATGAAAAGAAACCTTGGAGATTCTTCTGTAAGGCAGAATGCAGCAATGCACACAATAAACGCTGGTGCTGTGCAGGCAGCCATAAAATGCCTCCAGCTGTAACTCTCCAGCAACCACCAGGCCATTCCACCAGCAAACACTGCTCCCAGTGCACCACAAAATGTCACTCCTACCATGCACTTCCCACGATTTTTCTGAGGAAGGAATTCTGAAAATATAGGAGAAAACAAATTGAAACAAATTCAATGTAAAAAAAGTTCAACATTAAAGAATGCCACTGAAAGAATTAAGATGTGGAGTTTAAGAATTACTATATTTATTTTAGAAATTATCCCCCTTTTTTACAGTGCTAATCCTGTATAAACATGATTAGTTTGATATCTCTTTCAGTCTGCTAGGCACAGACTGTCTGCATCATCATTCATGCTCATTAAACATATTTCTACATTCTTTTAATCATTAATTTTGCTGAAGTTTGATTAATAGTTTGTATAGTGGTCAGATGGGTTCAATGGCTGGTGGCTAGATAGCTCCATTGGTAGAAAACCTGACTGGAGATTCAAGGGGGGTGGGGGGTCGAATCCCGGTCTGATCTGTTGCAGTTTTCTCTTTCCCGTTACTTTTGGTGCCATGCCCTGGAAGTGACAGGTGAAAAACCAGCCAGGGAAAAGCCTTGGTTGGTGTCTTCAGGGGCCTAAGACCTTTAGGGAGGGAGGAATGTGGCAGTCAGATGGGTTCATTTGCCAGATAGCTCAGTTGGTAGAGCACCCGAATAGAGATTCAGGGGGCCAAGATTTGGATTCTGGTCTGATCTGTCACAGTATTGAAATTATTAAAAAAAAAAAGAGAGAAAAGAAATACAAGTTCATACCTAAGAGATAAACAAATACAATTGATGATACTGCTCCATTACCAACAGACACACAGGTACGCAAAATGACCAGGACTAGAAAAGACGGTGCAAATGCTGAAGCTATCCCAAACAAAGCAACAGTAGAAACTGCAATAGCAAATGGCCACTTTCTTCCGTATTTGTCACTAATTATTCCAAATGTACACTCTCCTAGGATGCCCCCAATACCACTTCCCAATGGTAGCAGTGGAAATATGAATTTATTGAGGTCCCATTCTTTCTTTACCGGATGACTGAGGAAAACAAACACAACTAACTCTGCACACACAGCAAAGTACGCCCCACCAGTGGTGAGTAGCATTCTGAGATGAAGAAATCCAAATTTTGTCTTTGAAATAAAGCTATCCAATTTAACAGTTTTTTCAGCATTTTCATGGGATGTGTCATTATGAGTTAATGCTTCAACTTCACTGTTCCTTTCCACAAAAGACGAATCACTATCATTTCTTTGTTTCATGGTCACCGTCATGTTTAGTCACCTTATTTCCACATGTTAATTTGATCTGAGTAAATAACATGCGCTGTATCGCATCAATAATGCCACTTTATTCTAAACTTTTCATAAACCCAGATTTCACATTCGAAACTTCTCGGCTGTTTTCAACACTTTCGATTTACCAGGTGACATCCAACAAAATGTTAGATTTGTAAGAGCCTGAAGAGGAAATATTTATTGTAGACTGTAAGTTTTATTAATATGTTTTACGGTGTGACCGTTGGGGGCGAGCGCAGTTGTACCATCAAAAACCTATACACAGTTTACACTTCTAACGTTGATGGATCCGCCTCTTCAAACGTCAAACCGCACGAGACACAGTCAAGACTGTGACGTCACATGACGTCGGAATTTACGGAGACAGCCGAGCGTCTGGTTGAACGAGACTAAAGATCTTGTGCAATAATAAATGAAATACGTTGTAGAGTGGATGTAATTATTTTTTATTTCTTTTAAGCCCTCTGCAAAGAAAGAAAAGTAAACGTTTCTCTCGGTAATGAATAATTATCCTTGGTCTTTTGAATGTTTTGTAAGAATTTCGCATGGAACCCTGGTAGCGAAGGAATTCTGGGAATGTTGCCCCAGAAAATTTCCCTGACGTATGTACAGATTTCATTCCGAATTTCCTCTGTTCTTACACGTTAGTCTATTGAGCTCGCTTCGCGAGCGGCGCTTCGCGCCGCTCGCTGCGCTCGCTATTATATACATTTTGTCCATTCATTATTAATTCTGTATGTAGATAAGTACATTTATCTTTGTGACATGTTATGGAAGGCTTGCTTATCACATGTTTATGTCTAGCTCGTCGCGGGACCGCATGGTACCATTTTAAGTTTTCTGTAGAATATAACGAAAATGAATTTTATGCATGTTTACTAGAAATAAATTTCATCGATAAAAAGAAATATGCATGTTGCCTTTATAGAGATACAAACTAACTGCTAACGTTATATCACTTAAGATGCTGCAAGTGGTGTGTTTGTTATATCAGTCATTCTACAAAAACATGACCAATTAAGAATTTTTTATGTCGCTTACAAATTTACCGTTGTAATATCTTAACTAAAAATTTAAAGGTCGATTTCAAGTCTAAAACTTAACATACACACATGGTTTTGTAAATATTTACCGATATATATGTATATGCAGTTAAAGTTTTGATATAAACATAATGTAATGTTGAAAAACGTATTCCACTGCAAATCTTAATGTCGCTTCACTTATTTACAAATTTCAAGATGAAATTTTTAGCCGTAAAATTGTTGAAAGTTTTTGCATTAAAGGTATAAAAAATTTTATTATTTTGGGAGCGAAATGCTTCATACTTTTGTTTAATATCCTATTAAAACAAACTTTGATTTTAACTTTTGAGGAGAATTTTAACTTTTATTGCTGGAAATTAACTTCTGTAATGATTAACTTCCGTAACGATATTTTTCCCAAAAATTTAATTTAAATTCGGATTCATGCAAGACTTCATGAATCATACTTTAGCGTTCTTGACTGAACGAAAAATTGGTCAAAATCAGCTTTATTTGAAAAATAATAAGGCTTGATCAAACATTAACTTCCGTAACATTACCTTAAAATCAATGGTATTTTGAAATTGTTGTAAAAAGTTAATGATACCAGATTCGTGGACAATGTTTTGTTTTCAAGTTCACTGATATGTCCTTTAGAGAATTATGATGTTCATTTTGCTATTTGAAACAATTATTTTTTTCATGTTTTATACTCTGAATTGGTCCATTTATCGTAGAATGACTGATATACAGTCATTAATGGCAAACTATCAACAAAACTTTTTGATAAACGTGATGACTTTAACTTTTCTATCGTCAACATCCCTTATTTATGCAGCAATATACCATTATCACCAGCATATGGAATTTATGTCTTCCAGTTCAGTTGATTCAATATGAAAGAACATGTTATTTTAAAACAATGCAAGCTATTGACAAATAAATTTATGATAAAGGATATTTATAGTCTGACTTGTTTTAAGTAAAAAATTTACAAATTCTATGGTGGATACAAAGACCTTGTTATCAATTACAATCTGTTGTTATAAGTCAAATGTTGGCTGGCATTCAAACAAATTTTTAGGCCATTACTTTTACATTGAATTGTCTAACCATATCAATCAGTGTATCAAATAATTGGATACACATACTAGTAAATTTGCTCTTGCCATTGATAGTGCATGAAACTTTTGAAGTGTAAATATGACAGCAAGGATGTTTGATGGACAATTATTTATATTTTTGATAAAATTTGAGGTGTGGAGGCATATTAGAAATGGGGGAGAAGGTGTTAGGTTCGTTTATAAAGTACAATACTTTTTTGTGAAAAAATGTAGGAGAGTGCTAAGATATTAATTTAAATATAAATTTTGAGAATAAGGAGGGGGGGGGGGGTCATCACCATTTCCTGTTTCAATGCATATATAAAGGTGTTATTAGGCAAAAAAATACATGTAGTTTTCCATAGAATCGATAGGAAAATATCTTTAAAAATCTTCTTCTTAAGAACAACAAAGCCATGATAGGTCATATTTATACGGAAGCATCCTCAGGTAGTGTAGATTCAAATTTGTTCAAATAATGACCCCCGGGGGTAGGGTGGGGCCAGAACGGGTGATCAAAGTTTAGCATAGGAATACTGATACTATTAGGAAAATTCTTTAAAAGTCTTCTTCTCAAGAACAGCAAAGCCATGATTGGTCATATTTTAATGGAAGCATCCTCAGGTTGTGTAGATTCAAGTTTGTTCAAAGTTTGTTCAAATCATAAACAGGGTAGGGTGGGGCCACAATGGGGGATCAAAGTTTTACATAGGAATAATATAGGAAAAAATCTTTCTCCCAAAAACAGAAAAGCCATGATTAGTCATATTGTTATGGAGGCATCCTCAGGTAGTGTAGAATCAAATTTGTTCAAATGAGGGCCCCCTGGGGTAGGGTGGGGCCACAATGGGGGATCAAATTTTTACAAATGAGTATATAGGAAAAAAATCTTCTGCTCAAGAACAGCAAAGCCATTTGTTATATTGATATGGAAGCATCATCAGGTAGTTTAAAATTCAAGTCCCTCCCTCCCCACCCCCATGTAAAATTTTCAATACTGAACTGATTTTTGCTCCCCCCCCCCCCCTAGCCAATGTGCTCAGGTGAGTGATGAGGCCCATAGGCCTCTTGTCTTTTCTTTCCATTTCTTTTAGGAATGTTCAGAAGCTGTTATACGAGCAACAACATCCAAAAATTATAATTCAATGTATAAATAAATTTTCACAAAATATATTTCCATATAGTATTACATATACATCTAGAGAGAGATAACTCTTGGATATAACTTTTTTTCACTATAGGAATTGATGGAAAACAGAAAAAATATACCCCCCCCCCCCCTTGAACAAAAATTCCTTTTTGCAGGCATTACTGATATAAATGTATTACCGATATAATTCTAAATGCCCCTCGAGGGCCCCTTGATTGAGGAATAAACATAATTATATATGTATAAATTTATTTATAAGGTATTGTGGATTGTTGTTACTTATCAAAGGTTTTATAAATTCATGGGGGAAACATAAGTTTTTAGACAAAAACACAGGGAAAATGTTCATTTTATTACCAATATCAAGTGAGATTACAACTACAAAATTGTTCTTAATTAAATAAATCATATGTTTAATTTTACATAAGTTAAACATAAAAAAAAGATTTAATTTAAGGGTCATTTATCCATATCCATGAGTAATTTAAAATCTGATGGTGTTTTAAAGCCTGATTTCAATGAATAAGATTTTCTACCCCATTATAAAAAGAATAACAGCAGGTGCAGCTCCAGGAAGTTTTTCCGGGGGGGTTGGGGGGGGGTGGAGGGGGGAATCAATCCTAGTCTAAAAAAATTCCAGCCCAAAAATTTCTTCACAAGCAAAAAAAAAAAAAACAAAACAAAACAAAACCAAAAAAAAAAAACAAAAAAAACAAAAAAAAACAACAACAACAACCAAAAAAAAAAAAAAAACTTAAAAAAACTTAATTCCCTTCCCAAACATGTTAAACCCAGAAATTTCTTCACAAGCCAAAAAATATTGGAAAAAAATTGAAAAAAAAAAAATAAAATCCATTTCCCAAACGTGACAAACACCAATACTGTGGTGATGATGGTGGGGCCCATGTTTTCAAGGGGTGGGTGGGTTGTAAAGTCATTTTTTATTTGCTTCTGTATATACTTTTAATTACTTTGCAAATTCCGGGGGGGGGGGGGGGGGGGGGGGGGGGGGTCTGGACCCCCCCCCCTTTCTAGATCCACACATGTACAGTTTATAGTCATGAACAATATGGCATGGGTAGTAAAATTATTAATCAATTACTAATGAATTCTACTTTGCTTTCAATAAAGTTTTAATGGCGAAATTGCCATAAATGTTGAATTAAATGTGTGTAAGATGTAGGCAGGAATCCAGAGTTAGTGTTCACATGCAGTTCTTATAAGAAGTAGTGAATGGAAGGTAGGACTTTTTTTCTCTTCTAGAAACACTCAAGGTCGGAGAAGAAGAAAGAAAAAAATAACATATATTTGTTTTAAGTTCCTTTTGTACTAACTTACATTATTTTAAATGCATTTTTTTTTTTTAGAAAACATTGTAAATGTTCTAAGCCTTTGGGGAAAGAGTAGGGGGGAATCAATTAATTAAATAAATAGGAAGTTATTAGAAAATGTTTGAATTTGAAGGAAATCTAGGATTCTGACTGTCTGACTTATAACAAGCTGTCTCATGTAATGTAGATTAATTCATTGAGCAGACATGTTTTTCAACTTATGGCTGATTGGGGAAAGGGATCAGGCAGTGGTATATCGCTGCATTAAGGGTTTAGTAATTTCCATATGAATAATTAGGGTCAGATCTTTAAAAGTTCTCTGTCATGACTGTATTTTATCAATTATAAAATGAATGTGAAAGCACTGCATGCAGATCTCTCATAAATTTAAAAGTTTTTCATTTTGGGAACAGAAATAATGGAAAACTTATTTTTCAGCCAGTACATAATCATTGAAATTAAAGCATTAATTGTGATATCACCCCCTTCTTATGGTACATTTTTTTAAAAATCTATTTTGTCTCAAGCGGGACACAATGTCCTTTTTATTTCAAAAATATATTCATTTTCCCAAGAAAGGATACATGCAACATTGCATAATCAGTAAATCTGGCATAATATTTTTTAATTGGTATGCTGTAAACATATTACATTAGTCAGTGTATTCTATTTAGCACCTTTGCCAGAAAGTAGCTTATAATGCTAAATCAAGTACATTGCTAAATGTCTCCTATGATCCCACCTCTGATGTTTTAGAGGTCCGTGTTTGCTCTGCTCCCAATTTGTATAGTTTCAATGGATTTTGAGCTTGATTACTATTCATTATCTCCATATTTCATGCAATATATATTTTTATTATATATTTATTATATAATACGGGATTTTTGCATCCCTGATATGAACACAGGCACGCGCCCTGTATTACACACCCTGTATCAGCACCCTTTATTTTACCCTTTATCACACCCTTTATTACACCTTTCCGAAACATCTCTGTATTTTTCATTTGGAGTACCTCGGATCTTTTTCTATTAATTGTTTATAAAGTTTATTTAAATTGTAAATTTTCATCAGATATTTTATGCTATTCAAAGTAATCATTTGTTTAATTAATAATTATTTCATTTCTTATCGCTGTATGCATTGCCTTTGGAAAAAAATAATGAGAAAGGAAATTCAACGAAAAAAAAGAACAGATTCAATTACTAAGAATTAATTAATTTACAGGTTTATATATATATATGATTTTTTTTGACACTATTTTCAAATATATAATAAAAACAACAATACAAGACAAAATCTGTATCACACCCAATATCAACCCTCGACCAATATCAGCCCTCTGGCCTTCGGCCCTCGGGCTGATATTGGAGTCTCGGGTTGATATGAGGTGTGATAAAGATTTTGCCATGTATTATTCTCTATATATTTAGCGTGTTCAAAAATCGCTAAACCTAATCTTTGCTAATTTGTTGTAAACTTAATTTCCACCAAATGTTGTACAAGCTAAATATAATACATATACAGTTATCAATCGCAGCTAAATTTGGATTATTTTTAATTAATCTTTTAATGGAGATTTAATAGTACATATTTTGATATATTTACTGATTTTGATTAACTTGACTGATCTCTTCATGTTAATTGCTGTCAAAGTACAATGTATCTGGCTCCAAAATTAATTCTATGTTTTGATAAATTTCATTTACAAGTGTTATTTATAGGCTCAATGAAACAAGAAATGGCTGGGACTGCCAGGAGAGTTATATATGTGTACAAAGGACTAGGAGCTTTGGAAGAAAACTGTAAGGTTCTGATGTCACAGCTGATGCGATTTGTGAACCCTTGTGTTCATGCCATCCAGTTTATATCTCCAGAGGAAACAATCATTGGTGAGTGTGGGGACTGAGGATAAATCATATTTAATTAACATTATCACACACATACATTCATCATGTGTTCATTATAAAATTTACATCCCAAGGACGTCTGCCATCTGCTGTCAGAAAAAAAATTCTCCATCTAAAAATTACGAATTTGCAATTAAAGCGAGGAGTAGATGTCAAGATAAAACATGATAAAGGTAGAAAGAGAAGTCAGAAAACTGTCATATTGGAAAAGAAGTATTCAAATGAGACTTCTTTTTAATAGAAAATGAAATGAGGTAACAGTTTGTACAATATACATGTACCAAATAAAGCTATTGTCGGCTTGTCAAAAGCACATTATTTGACGCAATATCCTATAGGCTGTAAGTGATGTATTTATAGCTAGCAGATGTTAATATCACGGAATTATTTTAAAAAAAACCCAGCAAAATTAGACTCTGTATTACATATGCTGTAAAGTTTTTGTTCATTAAAATACATGTATAACAAGATTGGTACAAATTTATTAACAAAAATTATACACAGGGAACTGTGTACACAATTCTTTTTCTCATTAAATTTTATTCAATGGTATAAGAGGAGTTGTAGATAAGAGATGTAAGCCCCAAAGAATAACGGACAAATGGACGTGCAGACAGATGGACATCCCATCACTATACACCTCCCGCTTTTCAAGCGAGTTGTATAATTAAGATTGTATGTCATAGCAATAAAATGTATGATGATAGTTCATGATACTGAGGGGGAAAATATCACAATAAATTACAATCTTTTGGCTTTCTTAAGCAAACAATGTTTAAGTTAGGTCACATAAAACTGATTTTTAGACACATATATACATAGATACAAATTTGAAAAACTCTTGATGCAAGTGGTTGAATTTTATTTGACCTTGGACCATTAAACCTTAATTTCAGTATGTTTCTTTATAGAAACTATAAGATGGAAGTCAATCTTCAAACTGTGTCCACAGCATAATGCTCCATTGATATAAAACAATTCTCTGTCTTTGGTATTAACCTTCAAATGGAATTCAGTAGGTTTTCTTTCTTTCTTCAGCTAAACATCTTAAGTAAGAACATATTGTCTGTAATATTGATATTAATTTTCCCTATCAGTTCCATTACGCATCTTGGCCATCCTAAACATCAGTAGCAGGAATGAGACTAAAAGGTGAAACAGTCATCTTTATATTGTGTACAAAACATAGCTACAGACACACTCACATACAAATATGCATGGATGGACATGCCAACAACCAACTTGAATTTATCTCTAACCCTAAACTAAAAGCCTGACTCACAGTAAAATGATGCATTGATGTTTTTAGTGTATTGTAACACCTCTACAAAATGCATTGCCTATCCATGGAAAGATCATTAGAAGGAGGACAGGGCTACAACTAAGTTTTACAAACCTGTATTTTACAAGTTGTGTGACATAACATGATAACAGAATTCTGTTAAATCTATCAGGTAGTTGGTGTGACACTGCAGCTCTCTATGTGATTGGAGGAGGGTATGATCTTGGACTTATTGAAGCTTTAGGACCAGCAGGCATGAACAAGATCCAAGAGTATGTACACCATGGAGGCTCCTACTTGGGAATTTGTTCTGGGGCTTATTTTGCCTGTAGTTACATTGAGTTTGACAAAGGAGGACCCCTGGAAGTGTGTGGAGACAGGCAACTGAAATTCTATCCTGGTATAGGAAAACTGACATTTATATGAATCAAATTTATTATGCTTTAAATTAATTGTGCCTTTTTAGGGGTATTTTTTTCAGTTTGAAAGTTTTGTAAAGTTAATTAAAACAAATGGTGTTTTTGAAAGTGAACTTTCTCTCACCTGTTTTGCAAAAAAACTGGAATTACCTGTATTCTGAACATTTAAAAAATTATGTTAATATTTCTTTCAGGAGGAAAGATTGGGCCTTTGTATGGACCATACAAATATAACTCTGACTTTGGATCAAGGGCAGCATCATTAAAGTGCCACATTCCTCAGCCAGTCAAACTGACCAATGATGCCCCATGGTCTAATTCACCAATCGGCACCAAGAATGGATTCAAGTCTCACAAGATGGAGGAATTTTATGCTTACTTTAGCGGTGGAGGATTCTTTTATCCTTATCCCAAAGGGAGTTTCGAGACCGCAAAAGTTCTGGACAGCTATCACACAAATAACGGCATCCACGGTGAAGAGCAGACTTATTTCATTGAATTGGTCAAATCAGATATACATACCTCAGTAAATTCATGTCCAGAAGATCAACAATGCAAGCCTACCTCTAGTAATCAATGTCAAGAACGTGATGTAGAAGTTTTATGTACATACTCTGAACTTAAGGGGGAACCTGCTGCTATTGTCAAGTGTAAGGTGGGAAAAGGACAGGCTGTACTGAGTTCTGTACATATAGAGTATGACAGTCAGTGTCTTGACATTAAGGATGTTTATCTAAAACCCATCATTGAATCTCTGAAGAATTTTGACTTTGAACAAAGCATAATGTTTAGATATATGTTAAAATGCTTAGGTGTTAGCATTAATTTAGATGATAAGCATAAAGTATAGTTACATTAAAGTATCTGAATAAAAGTATAAAAATATACATATTTTACAACAAATTTCGTATTTATTACAGAATTTACTACAGTTGAACTTCAGTATCTCGAACATTGATATCTCAAATACCATGGATAAGTCGAACTGATCTGGAAGTCCCAACCACATATTCTTTAAGTATTTTAACCAAGATATTTCGAATCCTCAGATATCTCAAAGTATTTCACGGTCCCATCCAGTTCAAGATAACCAGGTTGGACTGTATTTGGCTATCAATGAATTTAAAAAATGACAGACTAGAAATGTGTTTCCCATCTCCAGCCATCACTATATGATCTAAATGAAATGACCTTGAATCTAGATTATGACATCTCTGCATGAGAATGAATGCATTTTAGACTGTAACAAAGCTTTTGCCTTGTTAAAGAACTATATGCGGTATATGCATATATTTGCCCCCACAAAAGTCATATTTTGAAAATATCTTGAAATGTGCTGAATTGTATATATTGTATGAGAAATCTAAATTAACAAAAAATATTATAGTTTCAAAGTAGGTTATTAGCAATTTTTGCTTCTGTGACGTCACAAACTATTCGGATTTTGTGTTGTTTTTCAGAAAGAGGAAAAAATGGACAAAATTTGTTCAATTTTACTACAAAATTTATAGAGCGCAGGCCTGCTCAGGAACAATATTTACATATTTCATTGATATTATCATTCTACACATTATATCAAAATATTGAGGTGGAGCAGACCTGCGCTCAGTGACTTTTACTCAAAATATTGACGTAATATACACCTTTTTCTGTATAATTCATGGAAATTTTGAATTTACGTCACTTTTCTGACGTCATATCTAACATATGGTGTCATGGATTATGAAAATATTCAGTGCTTTGATGTCTGCAGATATCCCCCTGTTTTAGAACATAATTATATATTTCTCCCTCAAAATTTGGTTTTGGGGGCAAATATTGGTCATTACTGAATATAGTCCTTTGTATGTATCATCCCCTTACAGACAGACTTTGAGTGATTATCGTGTCATTTTAGTCATTAGCAACAGCATACATGTCTAACTTCATTCCAATCAAAGCTTCCAAAGTTATAACTGGTACAAAGTTTTAGCTGTCATTGTCCATTAATGTTGACCATAGAGATTCTACACCTAGAATCAACAACGTACTTTAGTAGTTTAAAGTTGTATCAAATGCAAGGTTCCATGCCACAGTTATGGGCAATGACATGCAATAGTTTAAATTCATTCTAATGAAAAGTTCCTGGGTTATAGCGGATATGTGATTTCTAAATGTTTTGCTAAGTATGGAGTTCTGTTTGGGCCACTCGCACCTTCCCTCTTTTGCTTTTAGGGCGAAGATGAGAGTGCGAAGGAGTGAAAGTGCAAAGATGCGACGGCGAAGCACGAAGGTGCAAGGGCCAAAGTGCAAAGGTGCAAGGGAGAGATACTAGTATTGCTCCTTCGCCTTCACAACTTAGCATTCTGGCCTTTGCACTTTCACCATAGCACCTTTGCACTTTCACCCTAGCTTAGTGATCTTGGAATCTCAAGAACATGGACAGTAACAAGCAAAAATTTACCTTATTTCAGTCAATTAAGGCCTCCAAAGTTATGGACAGGAAATCCTGGTATAAGACAGAGACAGACAGACTTGTGACAAAAATGCTATTACATCAAAGACAGAAAAAGAAGATTTAAGATGCCATCTTACACGTATATAGCTTTTATACATTTGATATACCCAGTACTGCGCTTATATTGCTATAATTTTGATCACATTTTATTTAAAATCTCAATTGAACATGTTAAATGAAGTACTTATGAGATGTAAATAAATATTTGTACAACTTTTACTTACAGTTATCTGCTTTGTGTCTATCATTCTGATCAAACTTATAATCAATAATGAAGGAATAACACAAATGTAGACAGCATGTGATCAGCATCTTAACTTGCACTTACATGTAAACAATACAGATTCTATGAATTTACAGAAATTTTTTTGATTGACTTGAAACGACTCTGTGTAAAGCAAAGAACATTTTCCTTAGATATGACAATTCTTTATAAGGTGGTATATGGATGGACTTGGTTATGTTGTCCATATATGTGTACTGCATACCTTGGACTTCTCATGTTGGGACCTCTATGTCTTATCTTAGGGTCAAGGACACTTGACTGTATACAGAGGTCATTAGTGACATTTAACATTCTAATCACTGATGTCCTTCATAAGATGATTTAAACACGATGTATTTTGAAATTTTAATCGACATCCCTGTATGATTTAAAAATGTCATGATATTCGTTAGGTGAAGTCCTTGACCTGAGAAGTACAGGCAATAGTTTATGAGTACACATGTTCACGTGACATCCCTTACATGTCCGCCCCCAGAACTTGAATACGGTGGGGATCCTGCAGATACGGGGCACACGACGGACACTCGGACAGTCCAGCACTGGACATCCTCTCTTAAATGATGGCGTAATCCTGGCAGCGTATTCTAAAAATAATTATACATCAAGTTATTCCACCTTTTTTTCACGGTTTTGACATTTTATTAACCAGTACTTTGATATATATAATTTATAACAGGAAATGTTTTAGAAACATCCCCCTCCCCCATCAAGCAAAAGGTTCTAAGATGCTGAGGGGTTAATGTCTTCCTATGTCCAGTTTAACCCGTGAATTTTGACCCTGTAACCTTATAATCAATAAGGGGTCATCTACTCTTCAGGGGGTACTAGTGTACCAAGTTTGATATCTGTTAGTCTAAGAGTTCTTAAGATATCAGGTGGAAAACACTTGGTCTACCCACCCTCCACCTACCTACTCTGACTTCTAAAAATAGAAGTTTGAGGGATTTTAATCAATTTGAAGTTCATAATGGAACCATTTCTAATTTCTTAGTTCCTTAGTTGACATCGCCATTATTTATAAATGAACTTCCTCAAATTCTAACAACACTTTAATCTCCCCATTTTCTCTTAATTCTAAGCAGATTAAGATTCCTAATTAGTGGTAGTTTCAGAATAATTTTATTTGAAATTACTGTTTTAAGTCAACCTATAAATAAGTTGGACATTACCTATATGTTAAGCATGACATATGTTTTGGTGAAAAAGACATTAATATTAGTTTATTTTTAGGTGTCGGGATCGTACCGACTTTTTCAAAGCTCTTTCTCTGAGACCAAACCAAACATCAAATTGATTGACATGCTGATTTAAACACTTGCAGGATGCAGATTACTTTGAATTTAATTATAAATTGCTACTTATAAAAGGTAATTTTAAAACATTCTGCTATTTTCTCTTATAATGTGTGGTATAAACATGCATTTCATTAAATTAGACAGAAAGTATGAACATACAATGTATATTAATTCTTTGAAAATAATAAAACTAGAGAGATGATAGATGACACAGTGCAGCATGCAGTCGTGTCAAGAACTTTTTTTTATTTGGTTTGGTTTGAACATATTTTATTGTCTATAAACTTTACAAATGGGATTGGGCAAAAGTTCTTAAAACTTAATACGCCCTCTCCCTACATATGAATTATACCAAACATATTTACATATATGGGTCGCAGCTTAAAATGAATAAAACTCAGAAAAGCATGATAATCAGAGAAACATTATACAATACACAAGCTGTATAGAATTCGCAAGAAGTAATTATTGCATCAACCAAAACGACCTGACTTTTTAATAAATTTTTGTACAATGGAAAATAAGTATTCATTTTCAACATTATTAAACGTTTCATCTCCCCAGAGTAATGTATGAGTATCAACAGTATGTAATTTTCCCATTTGCAGAAATCTATCGAAAAATTCTTTTCTAGCTTCTGTATATTCTTTGCACGAGAAGAAATAATGATGAGTGTCCTCCACTCTTCCACAGGAACATAAGGGACTCAAAATTATATTACATCAAAAAAGATCGCTATTAAGTACACAGTTGTGTCGAAGTCACAGGTTTTATTTAATTGTCTCTATCTATTTATTTAATAATTTATTTTTGATTTTTTTTAAATGAAATTTTTTCCATCGATTAAAGAATAAGGTATGATTTGGGAAAAATTTGAGACCCTCTTTTTGGATAACTTCAAAAAGTTCAATACATTTAGTTAAGAATCGAGCACCTCTTGTTTATGCATGTTTCAAATTGAGAAATAAATCAAGTGATAGAAAACGTATAGGTCGGGATTTTTTTTTTCAGTCTCTAATTTACAAATCGGTATGGTTGATTTTTATAAAAATTAATTAAGCTGCATTTTCTTAGAAAGCACAGCGCAATAGCTATCCTATCTGCTAAATTTACATATTTTATGCACAAATGTAAGACACAACTTCTATATGAAAATCAAAGATAAGTTTATGTGTGAAATGTAAGTAACATTTCATGAAAATACACCAGAATTGAAATCTTTGAAAAAATTGTTCTTACCCAACGCCAGGTCAGTGTGTATACTTTAAGTCAATAACTATCCTGACTTTGAACCAAGCACAATTTTAGACTTTTTATTGGAAATTGAATTAATTTAACAATTAATACTTTGAATTTTCCATGTCCAACAAGGGCCAGATTTAGTCCTAAACGGCCCTTGTCCTTTGGAATTAAGCAATCGTTTCCATTTGAATTTCAAAGCTAATTTGTCCGACCATGCAAACACCACATAACACGAAATATATACATACATGCAGTACCCATGATGGTTCATTCTGTAATGTATGGGACCAAGATTTGTTTTTATTAACACTTTTTTTGCACCGGTCCCACCCCGTTGATGAATATTGCCTGGTCCCTTACATAGCTCCTTTCAAGTGATATATTGTATACATTTTGGTTAAATTTGTTTTCATTGTCTACTTGCTTTCAACTTACCGTAAACTTTAAGGGGGAACTTACCGCAAAATTTAAGGTCGACTTACCGTGAAATTTAAGGGGACGTTGAGTGATGCGTAACTGCAACAGAATACGTGCTATCCGGAACCACGTTTTGTCTATAGTACATTCTACAATTCCTGTCAATT